GCCTAGCCCATGGTCCAGATGAATTGGTGACGGTGCCCTGAGGCTCATACTTCGAGAAATACCGATGTGGACAGAGTGCCTAAAAATTTGGCTGAACCTACTGTAAATAATACTAAAGAGGATAGAGATGGGGGTGTATCAAGAACTGTGGGAGCTTATTTACTTAGAATGTTAGTGTGGCTTTCAATGGCTAGGTAAGTGACTCTTTCAGCAGCATGGACAAAAGCTACCCAATCCTATGTCAGAAATCAAGAAGGCAGCTGAGAAAGTGTAGGACTGGAGTTGACAGATAACAGCCAGAGAACCATTGTTACTGTGACTGTTTTTATTAAGAGTCTTGAGTCCTTGCGCTTTCCTATCCTGATGGAGCTGACAATGAGGATTTTTTTCATTACTCTTACTGCCAAACAAGACTGATGCTGAGTAAATCCTTACTGTAGTATTAGTAAGCAACTGGAGCTCTAGGAATTGTTTTGAACTTTTCTTCTGAATTTTTTGAATGTCATTCATCATCAGTTACTTATCTAAGAAGACCAAATTGCTGAGAAGTTAGAAATCAGATCTTTTCAAAGTGATCTCCCGAGGGGTCTCCTAGGCCTGCTGGCGAGGAGCAGTCAGACTCTGGTTTTGGTGCTTGGGCTCTCAGGTGGAAGACGAGCACTGCCAACTCGGAGCAGTGAATGCACAGGAGGAGCAAACTCCAAGGAGCTGGCTTAGGCCTCCACCTTCACTACTGGCAGCTTCCAGATGGATCCTAGAGGGCGTGGAGGCCAAGACCCCAATTCCCATCCTCAACATACAGGATATTCATGTTCCTAAAACCTAGAATTGTTCCAGACAAATCCAGCCACATGTCTAATCCCTAAACACCTCTGAGCTTTGCATTAACAGTCCTGGGAAGGAATTCCAATTTTTAGGAGGTCTGTTTACCCGGGGGAGGGTGGGGTGAGATGAGAGGGAGATAGGCCTTGGCAATTTCCCGTATTTTATTTGAAGACATCCCAGAGGCTTAAAGTGTCTTAAGACTGCATTGTTACTGGGTATCTCGGGTCTGGCGAAAGCCAGGAAGCTGTTTTGTATCTAAGAAAAGTGAGATTTAAGATTAGAAATTGTGAATTCCCTAGCCTTGCCTGTGATCCAGAAACAATGGGGACCTCAGTTTGTGGGGCTTTGCTATTCAGCTGAGAAATATCTCTTTGGCCAGAGGATCTGGTGAACGTCCCCAGTATTTCCTTCTCTCTCATTTCCTTAAAAGGGAAAAACTGGTTTCACCATTGCTTATATCTCACATAGATATTGTATCAAGTGGACACACTGAAATGTTATTAAAGCTATTTCTCAAGACTGTTAATAGTAAATATACAGAGTATGGATATTTCCTTTCAGCCCGAATCATCTCAAGACATTTTATGACAAATTTGTCAGTGTGAGATTTACACTGGGTCGAGGAGGAAACTAGAATAGGCCTGCAGGTGACTTCAGTTACTTACTCCTTCTCTTGGGTTCTTTAAAGTGATCTACAAATCTTCCGTAGAACAGTTATGCTTGCTTGAAATCTGAGTGTGGGTTGGGATTTTGCTGCAAGGGTCCACTAGCAAGATTAAATATCTAGAGGACCTCCAGCCAAAGATAAAATACTGGGAGAAGAGTGAGAAGAGAAAAAGAAAAGAGCTAGTGGTCCCTCTAGTGGAGAGTTGTGGGGAGGCACTCAAAGACTGCCCAAATGCCCTGCAAGCTAGCTGTTCTCTGCTTGTTACTATCTAACTGCTGACCGGAGCACTCCAAATAACTCACGATAAAGAGAATTTGATCTCCAACACAAACTAGTGGCAAAAAAGAAATACCGTCTTCCAAAATCCAGGAGGGTCAGTTTACCTGTATCATCTAAGCTGCTTAATTTTCTTGGAGACATACAGTAACTAACTGGGAAAGTACTCTAAATATGATAAAGGTATTTTAAAATGGCAAGGGCATCAAACATCTGCTTTATTTAAATTTTATATATTTTAGACATCTTGCATATTTGCTTCTATTATGAATTTTGTTATATATAGTGGCAGGGTTTTTTTCAGGTTTATCTCATCCCCATATTGGGGGGAATAACTCTCTAGAGCTCCACAATCTCTTGAAACTGTTGCCCACTGAAACTCCACTACTCTTAAAGCTCTCCCACAGCCTGCTAATAGGCACTGGTACTTCATATCCTCGCATCAGTTTCAAGGCATAAAGTGAATAAAAATGCATAAAAACCATAGCTGGCTGACAAGCCTTTCACAAATGCAGACAAAGGTTTGAATTCGAAGACTGGTCACTTGCCCCTGATCGGGGAGGGCACCGGTACTCTCCTTTCAGTCCCTGCTCAGTGCTCATCTTCTTAAGGACAAAGCGTTGGCTCCCTTGGGCATCTGCTAGAGGTCCCAAGGGATCTCCCACAGGCCTCTGATTGACCCAAGCAGCTACATTCCTGGTCTGATCCCTCCTTTGGGCTTAAGCTGTTCTAGCTCCGAACACACCCCCTGCGAAGAGCAGTAATAAAATCCTGTGAACAATCACCACTTTGCAAATGATCTTTATCTCTGTTTCAAGCACATGGGCTGGCCTACTGACCACAGTGTTTTGGTAGCACTCTTTGGGAGTGGGACGGTGTTGTAAACTCTGCCTTCCTTCCTCACTGAACTGTCTCTTGGCTTCTTCATCAGAGCATCTCTGGCACTCAGCACAGATCCTGCTCTTCAGCAGGTTCTGCACAAAAGTTTACTAAATGAACAGAGTAGTAACTTAAGACAGAATTGTCCCTTTTTCCTTTTCCCTTCTCCATATGCCCCATGAGGGTATGACCGGAACTAATTAGGGGAAAGGTGTAGTGTGGCAAATGTAATATTTCTCTGTAAGTAAGGACACTAGAAGACAAGCATGTCTGATGTCCTCTCAATAACCACCTCAAAATAAAAAACAAGAACCACCAAAATAAAAATGTAATTAGGCTTTCAAAGAAGTTTACATGTATATATACCCACATACTTCATTTAAGAACCTCAGTGCTATTTCTTTTTATTATAGCTAGACACAAAATGCCCAAAGATATACAAAACAAACAATACAAATTTTAAACACTTTTACAAAAGTGAAAATATGAAGAAATGAAGACTATGGATCTATGTTTGCAAACATTAATTTGACTTTGAATCCTGTCTGGTATTAAAACCTAACAGTTTATCAGAATTTGTATTTGATACAACTTTATGTTAAAATTATAGTGGACAAAACTGATGAAATCAATAGCCTATAGCAAGTAACTATTCAAATTAATATGATCTTCAACTATTCTAAGTACCATTGCTATCATTTTCTGTTTATTAAAACTTTTATTTTAGGGAACAAAACTGACCTTATGCTCTTTCAGGAAAAAGAATTAATAAACATTCATTAAATCTTCAATCTCAACTTTTAAAGCTTAGAGCTCTTTAAGTATTTTTGCTAATATGAAACTACTTTTGGTTCACTGCTAACTTTTAAAATATCTTAAGACAATCCATGTGATTTAAGGTCATTTTTGTCTGCAGAGTGCTCACATTTTTTTTCTACTAAAGCAGTAAGGCAAGAAAGCAGTTCCTCTTCCAAATCAGACAGACAGAGAATAGCCCTCCATTTTAAAATTTAGGGACTAGACCCACTGCAAATGATCCCACACCAAAAGGAAATTAAGGCTGCCGTGATTTTTCTTTATATTTAAACTATAACATAAGATTGGCAGTGCTATTGCCTGCAAATGTTGAATTTACAACCTTTGGGCTTAAATCACAGGACATAAATATTGCCATTTCTGTCTATACTTCTAAGACATTGTTTTCACAATCACTTTTGATAAATTTTAAGATGAAGTCAGAAAATACTACACAAGCTGGGCATGGTGGTGTGTGCCTTTACTCCCAGTTATTGTGGAGCCTGAAGTGGGAGGATCACTTGAGCCCAGAAGTTCAAGTCTAGCCTGGGCAACATAGCAAGACCCTGTCTCTCTTAAAGAGAAAACACTACACAAAGCTGAAAGTATATGACTGGTATAAGGAGATACATGCTTAAGGTGTCCAGAGTAGATTCCAGTGTCTCATTAGTGCTGGCACACTCTGCCCCCCAGCCCCACATACAGATGTGCAAGACACATACCAGCCAGCATGGTGGGTGGTGGCGGGGGGCGGGGGGGGGCTTTCACTGCCCCAAAGGGCCTGGCCCTCTACTGCCAAAGGCGAGATACCTGGCTTTGCAAGAACCCCCAGGCACCAGCTAGAGTATATCCTGTTTGCTGCAACATTCTTCTCTGAGGCAAACTCTTCTAGATATGTGAAAGATAGAAATCACATAACCTAGCCTGCAAAAGAATTCCTAAAATCATTTTCTAGCATGAATGTGGACCAGGCTTCACAGTATACATCTACCAGTGTTAGCACCATATTTTAGCCTGAACTGAGGTAAAAATAAACTCTCATATAACTTTGGGTAGAGATTTCAGGAGCAATCTTGAATGGGGTATTTATAGCAGCATTCTTTCTGATCATTAATATAAGTTGTATGAAGAACCATTTGATCCCAAGTACATATTAATATATCCAAGTGTACACTGAAACTGATAAATATCAAAGCTAGGTGTACAAGCTTATAGCAAGAAAAATCCAGCAAAATAGAATTCTCATTTTTTAATTCAAACTGTGTCAGTTTGGGTTGATGAAGTCAAAGATTTTGATAAAATATACTGAACCAATATCACAAAGCCAGCTTATCAATGGCAATGTCCAGAAATTTCACTTTTCAGAGCATGGTCAAGTTTACTATAGGTGCTACCCAGTCAACATCCAGATTCTACATTTAACTAGGTCAGACTATTTGTCCCCTGCTCATTACATATTTCATTTAATAAAAAGTTGAGTAACATCCACCTTCCCCAACTATTTTGGTTTCTGTAGACAAATTGCTCTGGAAGTTGTACTTATCATTTATATAAAGGATGCAGAGGGAAAGACCTTAGAACTTTATAAAAAATTTGAAGGGGTACAGTATGTTTCAGCAAATGAAAATATAACTGGACAAAAAGAGATAATTCTCGAATTTAGTTCCTATAAGCTGAAAAGGTAAGACAATAATGTTAAAATAAAGAACTTAATGGAAATTTTTCAAATTGCTTTTCCCCTCCCTTTAACATTACTTAACATGTAAGAGAAATAAGAAATCCTGATAAAATTAGCTTTTTGGAGCATCACAAAACTAATTTTTCAAAGGAGAGTAACTGCCATTGTTTATCAAATAAAATATAACTCTGGAGTCTGAACGCCACTGGAATTCAGCCAATCTCCAGTCAGAGCTGGCTTTGGTGCTCAGGCAGAAGTACTAGGCCAGTGCTAAACTTCAGGCAGAAGATTATCACTCAATTTGCCCAAGAGTCTTCAAAAACACTTAGCAGTAGCATTTTCATCTGGCTCTGCTGAAATTCAGATGAAAATAGGAGTAATTTCCCCCTGCAGCCTATAGAAACATTTTAGGAAAATAGTTTAAGGTTTGTACTTAGCTTAAAAATTCAGCTGAATACTGAAGACCATTCTTCAGAAAACTCGAACAGCCATTCTTCTTTTATAAATATGCCGGTGCTAACTGCACCCAATTGGTAATATACACGGAGGTATAGTTTAGCTACATTTGCAAGAATGCTAATTACTATATAAGGTCTTTCAGTTCCCTGTCGGTCAGTTCATTCACTTCCATGATCTTCTCTAAGTGTTCCATATATCGGCTATGGTCCTGCAGGAAGTGAGGGACCCTCATGTTTTCAATAACTGCCAATCCTTTTAAGCGATCCACATCTTCATAAGAAACCTGAAAAAGGAAGATGGGTTAATTTTAAAATATAACCGCAAGGTACATTTTAAAGATGAATTTCTTCCCTGGGTCTTAAATGAAAGTATATAGCTCGTCTGTCAAATTATTTAATAGCCGCAAAATAACAAAAAATCAGCAGCTTACTTTTCTTCACTCTGTTAAATTAGAATGTATTTGTCTGTGCCCTCATACTATGATCATATTAAAAGAAGTTATTCAAAGGAAGTCAAATGTGATTTAACACTCTATCTTGGACCTACTTAGTTTGTTTGAAAATTAGACAACCAAACTTAATATATATGTGTATATGAGAGACTCTAAATCTAAAAAACCTGACTAAATCTAAATAAAAGAATCAAGAAAATAGCTAGAATATAAATGCCACATTATTAAATTAGAAAAATTAGCACAGTTACACCAGATGACCATCCCGAATCCAAACATCCAAAATCTGAAACTTTTTGACTGCTGACATGACCTTCAAAGGAGTGCTCATTGGAGCTTTTGGAAATTTCTGATTTTTGGATTTGGGATGCTCAACTGGTAAGTAATATAAACATTCCAAAACCTGAAAAAACTGAAAATCCAAAACACTTCTGATCCCATCCATTTAGAGAAGGGATATGCAACCTGTATATTAGACACTCGTTTCTATTTAATTTGGGAAACATAATGATTTGTTATTTGTATTATAGTCTCTTACTTTTATTTTGAATTTTGTAAGTATTTTTTAAAATTTCACATTTCTTTTATTCACCTAAGTAGGAAGCCAGTAATTCAGGGGTGTTTATATATAGGTTAGGTTTAGGGGTGAAACATTTTAAGTTCTATACATTATCTTTGCATCTTTAAATTCCAAAACCTGGTTTACTTTAAATATTATGGTCTTCTGATCAACACTCTTCCAGGTTCAGTGGGAAGGCTTTAAGACAAGAAATTATGTTCATACTATATCTGTACTTTATTAAGTTTAAAAAATGTTTAATATTATTAAAAATTATTTCTTTTATTTAGTATGTATACCACTAAATGTAATGAAAATAGGTTTGTTGATATTGGTATGGTTTAGTAATTCTTAAACCATTATGAGTTTATTATAGAAGAGAATGAGTAAATATAGTGATATTGGGAAACAGCATTCTTATTTTAAGAGAAGGGAGATACAAATATATTAAATAGAATGGGAGGGTGAAGAATCAAGTGGAGTCTGATTTGAATTTAAATCATTATCATTTAAAACAAATAATATGATATGCTCATTGAAAGGTCTCTAGAAGCAAGAGCAACTCAGTAGCAAGATAAGACCTAGTACTCAGATCCTGTTTTCTAAATACCATTTCCCACTAAAAGGAATCAAGGCTTCACTGGAGAAATGGCTAATCTCAGATTTGGGTAGCGAAAGTACAAGATGAACCCAGGCATTTTACTTTGCCAGAAAACATAGAGATATGTTTAAAACAACATAGGAGCAGCCATGAAAAAGCTCAATAAAAACGAATTAAGTCCATAATAATACTACAAAAAAAGCAGAGTAAAAGAAGAAATGTAACAGAATTACAAGATCTCTATTTTGTTACCACCAGTGTAATAACTGATTTGGAAAAAGATAATGGATGTTAAAATAATTCTTTGAAAGGTTGTTTGGGAACAGTTGTTCACAGGTATCACTGTAAAGATTACTTATTAATACAATGGGGGAGATCTAGTAGTCACTCATTCATCAGGTGATCAAACACAACATTAACAATAATGGAGCAAAATGATATGTGCTTTCTAATCTGATGCAGCAGGAAATACACAAAATCACTTACGAAGTATTCTTGACAAAAAATGTTTAACCTGAATCTCATCATGAGGAAACAATAGGATAATCAAAATTGTAGGGATTTTCAAAAAAACGATCCCTGAGTCTTAAAAATGTCATGAAAAAGAAAAAGAAAGGGGCAAGGGAGACTATTCTAGATTAAAAAGACATGAAAGGTTATAACCAAATACAATGCATAAATCTTGATTAGATCCTGGGTCTCTCATACACACATACATACACACACACACACACACACACACACACACACACACACTACAAAGGATGTTTTTGAGACAATTTGGAAAATTTGAAGTAGACTATTTTAAATGTTATTTTGAATCAATGGTAAATTTCTTAAATAACAAAATCGTACGATCAGGTCAGAGAATATCCTTGTTCTTAGGAGATATTAACAGGGAAGTGTTATAGTTGCAGCTTACTTTAAAATGCTTTTAAACAAAGATACTTTTTAGAAAAAGATATGTATACAAATAAAAATAAAACTACATATATTCCCAAATTTCCCATTCCCTTGTTTATCTCTTATTGGCCACAAGGAAATTTTATCATTTGGTTCTGTGACAGAACCGTATTTCTCCCTCTTGTTATCACATAAAGGAAACTTATTCCAACAATAAAGTAAAAACAGTCTGAACCTGAGTCTTAGGAATCATAAAATCAAGCTAGAGGAAATGCTAATCTGGTGTGCTTGGGGACTATGTGCCGTTGGTTTTACTCACCTTTCCCAGGGCGGTAAGTAGATGAAAGTCTATGGTATCTCTGTATCGAAGGATTTGAAGAATTCCATCCAAGTATACCTGGTCTTTACTAAAACACCCTGGAGGAACCAAAATAGTGTTTATTTTCTCATATTTAAAAAAAATTACCTTAAAAAATTTATTTTTATTTTTATTTTTCATGGAAAAGAGATTTTTCTTTTTTCCAAAAATTGCATGAAAGTAAAGCAAATCTCTAGTTGATGAGGGCTTGTTGTGTAGGCGTTAGCAGTACTGCCATCACTACTCGTTCATTGGACAGTAGTGCTACCCCAAGAAAAGGATGGTTGAAAAATTACTAAGTAATTAAATACCAACCCATTCCCTTTACTGTAAGAATTACACCTGCATAAAAGAAAGTTCTAATTTGTCAACGTTTATTTAACTATCTTTGTAGCATAAAATGTGAAGTCTTAGAAAGTACAAGGATAGTATGCAGACTAATAGCTTTCCTTTAAGAATTCCCTCCCCCTAGACCTCATCCCCATTATTAAAATAACATTTTTTCTTAATTATAAATAAAGACTGGCAATTTAAAATATATGATTCTTATAAATGATCATCCCACCTCCCCGACCCCTGCCACTCAATCACAACCATTAACTCCCATGATGTGATGAAGGCATTTGGGTAGAAAGGGTGAGCAGGAGTGTGTGTGTGGCGGGGAATAGTTTTAGAGAAGTTAGGTCTCAACAGGTAGTGTAGAGATGTAGGATTTCAGAAACTCCTGGTATTTAGAAAAATAATAACAACCTTCCCCCCATTAAAAAAAACTACAGTTTAATAATGCTCTAGGTGATTTTGATACTGTTACTCCCTATGAAAACAAGAATTAGAACTAGATTTTAAAGAATATGTAGATTTGGCCGGGCGCGGTGGCTCACGCCTGTAATCCTAGCTCTCTGGGAGGCCGAGGCGGGAGGATCGCTTGAATTCAGGAGTTCGAGACCAGCCTGAGCACGAGCGAGACCCCGTCTCTACTATAAATAGAAAGAAATTAGCCAAACAAATGAAAATAGAAAAAATTAGCCAGGCATGATGGTGCATGCCTGTAGTCCCAGCTAATCGGGAGGCTGAGGCAGGAGGATCGCTTGAGCCCAGGAGTTGGAGGTTGCTGTGAGCTAGGCTGA